CTACAGCCAAAAGGATTTTAAAATTCTGTGATCACTTGTTATTTTCTACCAAATTTTTTGAGTGAAAACAATAAAAGTCGATTTTTCTGGCTAAAGTAAGCGCTACAGCCAAAAGGATTATAAATCTGTGATCACTTTTATTCCTACCAAATTCAATTAGTGAAATCAAAAAGTCCATTTTTCTGGCTAAACTAAAGGCGATACAGCCAAAGGATGATAATCTGTGATCACTTCTCGATTTTTTGAGTGAAAACATAAAGTCCATTTCTGGCTAAACTAAAGGAGCTACAGCCAAAAGGATGATAATCTGTGATCACTTTTATTTCCTACCAAAATTCGATTTTTGAGTGAAAACATAAAAGTCCATTTTCTGGCTAAACTAAAGCCGCTACAGCCAAAAGGATGATAATATGTGATCACTTTTATTTCCTGCCAAAATTCGATTTTTTGAGTGAAAACCTAAAAGTCCATTTTCTGGCTAAACTAAAGGAGCTATAGCCAAAAGGATGATAATCTGTGATCACTTTTATTTTCTACTAAGATTCGATTTTTGAGTGAAAACATAAAAGTCCATTTTCTGGCTAAACTAAACCCGCTTCAGCCAAAAGGATGATAATCTGTGATCACTTTTATTTCCTGCCAAAATTCGATTTTTTGAGTGAAAACCTAAAAGTCCATTTTCTGGCTAAACTAAAGGCGCTACAGCCAAAAGGATAATAATCTGTGATCACTTTTATTTCCTAGAAAAACTCAGTTTCTGAGTGAAAACATAAATGTCCATTTTCTGGCTAAACTAAAGGCGCTACAGCCAAAAGGATGATAATCTGTGATCACTTTTATTTCCTAGAAAAACTCAGTTTTTGAGTGAAAACATAAAAGTTCATTTTCTGGCTAAACTAAAGGAGCTACAGCCAAAAGGATTAAAATCTGTGATCACTTTTATTTGCTACCAAAATTCAATTTTTGAGTTAAAAATTTAAAAGTCCATTTTCTGGCTAAACTAAAGGCGCTACAGCCAAAAGGATGATAATCTGTGATCACTTTTATTTCCTAGAAAAACTCAGTTTTTGAGTGAAAACATAAAAGTTCATTTTCTGGCTAAACTAAAGGAGCTACAGCCAAAAGGATTAAAATCTGTGATCACTTTTATTTGCTACCAAAATTCAATTTTTTGAGTGAAAACATAAAAGTCCATTTTCTGGCTAAACTAAAGGCGCTACAGCCAAAAGGATGATAATCTGTGATCACTTTTATTTTCTACCAAAATTTTTTGAGTGAAAACATAAAAGTCCATTTGTGGCTAAACTAAAGGCGCTACAGCCAAAAGGATGATAATCTGATATCACTTTTATTTCCTAGAAAAACTCAGTTTTTGAGTGAAAACATAAAAGTTCATTTTCTGGCTAAACTAAAGGAGCTACAGCCAAAAGGATTAAAATCTGTGATCACTTTTATTTGCTACCAAAATTCAATTTTTTGAGTGAAAACATAAAAGTCCATTTTCTGGCTAAACTAAAGGCGCTACAGCCAAAAGGATGATAATCTGTGATCACTTTTATTTTCTACCAAAATTCGATTTTTTGAGTGAAAACATAAAAGTCCATTTCTGGCTAAACTAAAGGCGCTACAGCCAAATGGATGATAATCTGATATCACTTTTATTATCTACATACTAAAGGAGCTACAGCCAAAAGGATTAAAATCTGTGATCACTTTTATTTCCTACCAAAATTCGATTTTTTGAGTGAAAACATAAAAGTCCATTTTCTGGCTAAACTAAAGGCGCTACAGCCAAAAGGATTAAAATCTGTGATCACTTTTATTTCCTACCAAAATTCAATTTTTTGAGTGAAAACATAAAAGTTCATTTTCTGGCTAAACTAAAGGCGCTACAGCCAAAAGGATGATAATCTGTGATCACTTTTATTTCCTACCAAAATTCGATTTTTTGAGTGAAAACATAAAAGTCTATTTTCTGGCTAAACTAAAGGAGCTACAGCCAAAAGGATTAAAATCTGTGATCACTTTTATTTCCTACCAAAATTCGATTTTTTGAGTGAAAACATAAAAGTCCATTCTCTGGCTAAACTAAAGGCGTTACAGCCAAAAGGATGATAATCTGTGATCACTTTTATTTCCTACCAAAATTCAATTTTTTGAGTGAAAACATAAAAGTTCATTTTCTGGTTAAACTAAAGGCGCTACAGCCAAAAGGATGATAATCTGTGATCACTTTTATTTCCTACCAAAATTCGATTTTTTGAGTGAAAACATAAAAGTCTATTTTCTGGCTAAACTACAGGCGCTACAGCCAAAAGGATGATAATCTGTGATCACTTTTATTTCCTACCAAAATTCGATTTTTTGAGTGAAAACATAAAAGTCTATTTTCTGGCTAAACTACAGGCGCTACAGCCAAAAGGATGATAATCTGTGATCACTTTTATTTCCTACCAAAATTCGATTTTTTGAGTGAAAACATAAAAGTCCATTCTCTGGCTAAACTAAAGGCGTTACAGCCAAAAGGATGATAATCTGTGATCACTTTCATTTTCTATCAAAACTCAGTTTTTGAGTGAAAACATAAAAGTTCATTTTCTGGCTAAACTAAAGGAGCTACAGCCAAAAGGATTAAAATCTGTGATCACTTTTATTTCCTACAAAAATTCGATTTTTTGAGTGAAAACATAAAAGTCCATTTTCTGGCTAAATTAAAGGCGCTACAGCCAAAAGGATGATAATCTGTGATCACTTTTATTTCCTAGAAAAACTCAGTTTTTGAGTGAAAACATAAAAGTTCATTTTCTGGCTAAACTAAAGGAGCTACAGCCAAAAGGATTAAAATCTGTGATCACTTTTATTTCCTACCAAAATTCGATTTTTTGAGTGAAAACATAAAAGTCCATTTTCTGGCTAAACTAGAGGCGCTACAGCCAAAAGGATTAAAATCTGTGATCACTTTTATTTTCTACCAAAATTTTTTGAGTGAAAACATAAAAGTCGATTTTCTGGCTAAAGTAAGGCGCTACAGCCAAAAGGATTAAAATCCGTGATCACTTTTATTTCCTACCAAAATTCAATTTTTTGAGTGAAATCATAAAAGTCCATTTTCTGGCTAAATTAAAGGCGCTACAGCCAAAAGGATGATAATCTGTGATCACTTTTATTTCCTAGAAAAACTCAGTTTTTGAGTGAAAACATAAAAGTTCATTTTCTGGCTAAACTAAAGGAGCTACATCCAAAAGGATTAAAATCTGTGATCACTTTTATTTCCTACAAAAATTCGATTTTTGAGTGAAAACATAAAAGTCCATTTTCTGGCTAAACTAAAGGCGCTACAGCCAAAAGGATTAAAATCTGTGATCACTTTTATTTTCTACCAAAACTTTTTGAGTGAAAACATAAAAGTCGATTTTCTGGCTAAAGTAAGGCGCTACAGCCAAAAGGATTAAAATCTGTGATCACTTTTATTTCCTACAAAAATTCGATTTTTTGAGTGAAAACATAAAAGTCCATTTTCTGGCTAAATTAAAGGCGCTACAGCCAAAAGGATGATAATCTGTGATCACTTTTATTTCCTAGAAAAACTCAGTTTTTGAGTGAAAACATAAAAGTTCATTTTCTGGCTAAACTAAAGGAGCTACAGCCAAAAGGATTAAAATCTGTGATCACTTTTATTTCCTACAAAAATTCGATTTTTTGAGTGAAAACATAAAAGTCCATTTTCTGGCTAAACTAAAGGCGCTACAGCCAAAAGGATTAAAATCTGTGATCACTTTTATTTCCTAGAAAAACTCAGTTTTTGAGTGAAAACATAAAAGTTCATTTTCTGGCTAAACTAAAGGAGCTGCAGCCAAAAGGATTAAAATCTGTGATCACTTTTATTTCCTACCAAAATTCAATTTTTTGAGTGAAATCATAAAAGTCCATTTTCTGGCTAAACTAAAGGCGCTACAGCCAAAAGGATGATAATCTGTGATCACTTTTATTTCCTACCAAAATTCGATTTTTTGAGTGAAAACATAAAAGTCCATTTTCTGGCTAAACTAAAGGCGCTACAGCCATAAGGATTAAAATCTGTGATCACTTTTATTTTCTACCAAAATTTTTTGAGTGAAACATAAAAGTCGATTTTCTGGCTAAAGTACGGCGCTACAGCCAAAAGGATTAAAATCTGTGATCACTTTTATTTCCTACCAAAATTCAATTTTTTGAGTGAAAACATAAAAGTTCATTTTCTGGCTAAACTAAAGGAGCTACAGCCAAAAGGATTAAAATCTGTGATCACTTTTATTTCCTACCAAAATCCAATTTTTGAGTTAAAAATTTAAAAGTCCATTTTCTGGCTAAACTAAAGGCGCTACAGCCAAAAGGATGATAATCTGTGATCTCTTTTATTTCCTACCAAAATTTGATTTTTTGAGTGAAAACATAAAAGTCCATTTTCTGGCTAAACTAAAGGAGCTACAGCCAAAAGGATGATAATCTGAGATCACTCTTATTTCCTAGAAAAACTCAGTTTTTGAGTGAAAACATAAAAGTTAATTTTCTGGCTAAACTAAAGGCGCTACAGCCAAAAGGATGATAATCTGTGATCACTTTTATTTCCTGCCAAAATTCGATTTTTTAAGTGAAAACATAAAAGTCCATTTTCTGGCTAAACTAAAGGAGCTACAGCCAAAATAATGATCACTTTTATGTCTTTCAAAACTCAGTTTTTGAGTGAAAACATAAAATTTCATAGTCTGGCTAAACTAAAGGCACTACAGCCGAAAGTATGATAATCTGTGATCACTTTTATTTCCTACCAAAACTCAGTTTTTAAGTGAAAACATAAAAGTTTTTTTTCTGGCTAAACTAAAGGCGCTACAGCCAAAAGGACTAACATCTGTGACCACCAAAAAGTCCATTAAATTAGAAAGAAGAATGAAAATTAGAAATTAAATTAGAAGAAGAATGAAAATCTGCGATCACTTTTATTTCCTATTTATTTAAAATCAATATTTTTATAATTTCAGTCAGATGACAATTTTTTTACTTTGGACAAACTAATGGCCAATACAACATACAACATCTCGGTAATGGCAGTTTATTCCAATAACAGATATTCTGTCATCGCACAACAGCAACAATTCAAAACTTTGCGTCGCTCTTACACTCCTGGCAATGTGACTGAAATAAAAATAACACATTTCACTGAAGATAAATTGAATAAAAAGCATTTAACAGCAACATTGACATGGAAACCAGCTGCAGGTAATTATTAATAACTTTTTTTGTTATTATTATTAACTTATACATACATTTACTGTATACATTGTTGTTTCATTAATGCTATATGTATGTTTTTATTACAGATATGACATGTCATTACAATATTATTTGTTTTTCACCAGAAAGTGAAGATTATGAATTGCAACCATTGGAAATACGAAATGTAAGTGATAGAATATTTATGTGTTTGTATTTTTGTAACACATTTATAAAACTCTTAAACGTTTTTTTTAAGATTTAAATTTAAAATACTATCATTGAAACAACCAACCACGCACTTTCAAGTTAAGCTCCCAAAATAAACCATTGTTAACTTTATGAATACTGGGGATTATTTACAAAACTCAAAACAGGTTTAAATTTAAAAGTTAAATATTAGCTGCAGTTCTATTTGTCCTTATAAACAAATTGTAGTTTGTAACTTCAAAGAATTTTCATGGAAAATCATTAGTATTCATTATACATTCTGATAAGAAAATTTATGTTTTAGAAGCAAAAGCAGCAATCTTCTTCTTCGTCGAAACATATCTCGTAAATTTAAACAGAATTTCGGAATTACATCATTATGGATCGATTGTAGTTGTTCTTTAATCAATTATTAGATGAATTTTATTGTCATCAGGATGATTGTGGAAAAAAAGTTGCGATCCTCTTAATATTTGGTAGATATTTTAGTTCTAAGGAATCCTGTTTATGTCGAATTTTAACGTTAATGAACTTTCCTGCAAGGAACCAATCAACAGAGAATATTTGTGGAAAATTCCATTTCTTTACCTTCTCTCGTTTGGACTCTATCGTGTTTATAACAGACTGGCGGACGGACAGGGAAAGATCGTTTAAATAGTTAATAAGGACGCGGAACAAGTAATCTGCAATAGTGGTTACTATGAACTTTGAGGATATTTTCTGAAGAGGACCCTATCAATAGATAATATCGGTGGATAATTTTAACCCTTTAGCTCCTCTCGTTTAGGCCCTATAGTGTCTATAACAGACCAGGTCAGATGGACATGGTAAGAACTTTTTAGATTTTAATAACGATCCAGCAGTATTAATCGTTAAGAGAGATCTTAACTAAGGCCGTATGGGTATTTTGATTGATTACAAGTATTCAATAGATGAACAAATATGGACTTTATGCCATCGCTTTTCTATTCTATTATATTGAAATTAGATAATTTCAAATCTGTTCCTTTGTTTCTACAACAGACAGCCAGACGGATAGACAGACGTATAAAGCAAGAATGTTTTAGTTTTTAATAAGAATCCAACAGAGAGAGAGATCATAACTAAGGCCTTAATAAGGATTGTTTTCTTTACTTAAACCGGCAGATTTCGATCATCCACATTTATGGGCTAAAGTTTTGATTGATCATGAACTAATATAGAGTTTACTTTACTGTCTTTGCTTTTCTAACTCTGGATTATATTGAAATTAGTTAATTTCCAATCTGTTCCTTCGATACAAGTTGGTCGTACATAATTTCAAAAAGCGATTGTATTTTAAATGAATTTTATATGTATTTACAAAAATTTATTACTAAATATTTACATAAAAAGAAGCACAAGTAATGTCATCACAGTGTATTAAATACATAGTTGGGATTAGTAGCCATGTTTCTTATAACCGCCATAGCCACCACCGCCACCACCACCGTAGCCACCGCCGCCACCACCTCCATAACCGCCGCCGCCACTTAAACCGTGACCGCCTCCGCCACCACCACCATGACCGCCGCCACCACCGAAACCACTTCCGCTACCACCACCACCACCTAATCCAGAGCCACCACCGGGACCAAAACCACTTGAACCACCGGATCCTCCATGACCTCCTGAACCACCGCCAGGACCAAAACCTCCACCACCACCGCCTAAGCCAGAGCCTGAACCAGAACCGAAGCCTCCACCGCCACCACCACCGCTACCTTTACCACCACCAGAACCAGAGCCGCCACCTGGACCAAATCCGCCACCACCACTGCCTAAACCATTTCCGCCACCACCTCCATGACCTCCTCCTAACCCTTGAGAAAGCGAATTACCGCCGCCATGACCGCCGCCTGGGCCACCACCGCCGCCTCCTGGGCCAAAACCTCCACCGCCGCCTCCTAGACCAGAGCCGGAACCAAAGCCACCACCACCGCCTGAACCTTTACCGCCACCAAGTCCACCACCTGAACCGCCACCAGGACCAAAACCAGCGCTACCATGACCACCACCAGGACCAATTGAACCTCCACCATGGCCGCCACCCGGACCACTACCTCCTCCACCAGGACCAAATCCACCACCACCGCCAGAACCACCTCCTCCACCGCCGCCTCCACCTCCTCCTCCTCCACCACCACCATAAGTGGCTACTTTACTGCCATAAGGCACACCACTAACTGTACAGCTTATAACTGCCAGGGCAACTACCGTTACCTAGAAACGTTTCAACAATCATCAATAAATACTTCAATGTTCTTTACAAATTCATCTTTTTCATTTACATACCAAATATTTGTTCATTTTTATTCCAATTATTCCTCTGATCTGTGTATCTATAACTCAGCACTCAGTTCACTTCACTAATGTTCTATAATTACTGTTAATGATTGTAAACAAACATTCGGCTTTTATAGAACTAACGAACGAATTCGTTTGTAGTTAAGAATATTTTCCATTTTTTTTTCTATATCTGTAGTGGTTTGTTTACCTTATGGCACAGGTTGTATGTAGATGCCACACGCGTTCAGCAAAAAAAAAAACACAATCCGGCAAATGTAATCAATAAACTTACAAATATGGTATGTACTAGTTTTTCGTATGTGTTAATATTCATATGTATGTATATTTGTACATTTATGAAACACATACTGATTGATGGACCAACAATATTAAGTGAATCTTTATTATCTAACTAACTTAAAGGGTGTTTTATGGGGATGTGTTAGTTACAATCTACCCTTGTGCGAAATATCAGTGATTTGTTCATGGTATTGGCTCAGGATTGGCTCAAACCGAAACACAAAAATCCTGTGCGCAGCCCGACCTATAACCCAAATTAATAATAAAGCCTAATATTAAGGCATCAAAGAAATTTAGTAAGACCAAATGCGATTCATTTATTATAAGCTGCTGGAATCGGGCCATGTGATCACAGGGGACCTATAATAAACACAATTGGAGCATTGTCCAAAAAATCTCCCGAAAATGTGATCAGTCATAAAGCCATAATATTCTATCATGATAAGATCAGTTAAAAACCATTTAAAAACATTGATTGGGAAGTTTCAACACAGCCGCCTATAAATCCAGGCCCTACCCCGTCTGATCACTAAATATTTGTTTCGATCGTTATGATTCACTTTAAAACATTATACCGGAAACTAGCCTGATTCATTTTAGGTCACAATCAGTACAGTACGCCTGTCTACCCTAATAGGAGGTCATCATATTTGAAAAAACTTTACACTTAACATCTGTCTGCTATTTTTCACATAAAGATATAAGATTTCGTCTAGTCAAATGTAATTGCCTTAACTAAGTAATACTAATTATAGGTTTATAATTGCAAAATATTAAAATTTATTAGAAATAACAAACTGTCATTTTTCAATACCCTTTACATCCCCACATCAGTACATATTTGTATATATATCTGTGGTTACAATCAATAATTGGCTATGTCAACTTAAGACCAATGTTTTAATGAAAATTGAAGCATCAGTCCGGAACGATCTGATTTGCAGTAGGATAAAATATATATTAACTCGACAATTACCGAGTTTTTTTTTCCCAGAGTATAACTTTCAGCTACTGTAGCGACTAGTCAACGGACAATGGACTAGTTCCAAGACTAGTCAATGGACTAGTTCATAGAATAGTCCATAGATCAGTCAACAGACTATTCCATGGGCTAGGCTAATGTATAGAATAGTAAACAGACTAGTTAATAGTCCTGTCCATAGACTATTCAATTCACTTGTCCATAGAATAGTCAATGGACTAGTCAATAGACTACTTAATAGATTACTCAAAATACTAGTGCACATGCTAGTCAATATCTACTCAATAGACTAGACAATATACTAGTTCATAGACTAGTCCATAGAGTAGTCTACAGACTTGTCAATAGACATGTTTTTATACTAGTCGAAAGATTAGTCAACAGTCTAGTCAATAGGCTTTTCAATAGACTAGTCAAGGGACTCGTCCACAATCTAGTCAATATACTAGTCCATAAACTGATCAGTAGACTGGACCATAGTGTGATCAATAATCTGGTCTGTAGACTATCAATAGACTAGTCAGTTGTCCATAAACTGATGAATAGACTGGACCATAATGTAGTCAATATACTAGTCAATAGACTAGTCAGTAGACTAGCCAATAGACTGGTCAATAGACTAGTCCGTAGAATAGTCAATATACTAGTCAATAGACTAGTCTATAGACTTGTCTAGTCAATAGACCAATGAGTAGACTAGGCAATAGACTAATCAGTAGAATAATTCATAGACTAGTCAATAGACTAGTCCATATAATAGTCAATATACTAGTCAATAGACTAGTCTATAGACTTGTCTAGTCAATAGACCAATGAGTAGACTAGGCAACAGACTAGTCAGTTGACTAGATAATAGACTAGTCAGTTGACTAGACAATAGACTAGTAAGTAGACTAGTCAATAGACTACTAAGTAGACTAGTCAATAGACTAGCCAATAGACTAGTTAATAGACTAGTCCGTAGACTAATCAATAGACTATTCCGTAGACTAGTCAATAGACTAGTCAGTAGACTAGTCAATAGACTAGTCCGTAAACTAGCCAATAGACTATTCAGTAGACTAGTCAATAGACTTATCAGTAGAATAGTTCATAGACTAGTCCATAGGATAGTCAATATACTAGTCAATAGACTTGTCTAGTCAAAAGACCAATGAGTAGACTAGGCAATAGACTAGTCAGTTGACTAGACAATAGACTAGTCAGTTGACTAGACAATAGACAAGTCAGTAGACTAGTCAATAGACTAGTTAGTAGACTAGTCAATAGACTAGTAAGTAGACTAGTCAATAGACTAGTAAGTAGACTAGTCAATAGACTAGTAAGTAGACTACCGAGTAGACTAGTCAATAGACTACCCAGTAGACTAGTCAATAGACTAGCCAGTAGTCTAGCCAATAGACTAGCCAGTAGACTAGTCAATAGACTAGTCAGTAGACCAGCCAATTGTCTAGTCAGTAAACCAGTCAATAGACTAGTCGGTAGACTAGTCAGTATACTAGTCAATAGACTAGTCGGTAGACTAGTCAGTATACTAGTCAATAGACTATTCAGTAGCCTAGTCAACAGACTAGTCTATAGGATAGCCAATAGACTAGTCCATATATTAGTCCATAGACTAGTCAATAGACTAATAAAGTTTTAGTTTTCTCTAAAAAGGGATGCTGTTTATTTTCGTTAATATGATTATTGACTTAAGCCTTTTTGGCCATTGATCACATATTATATACATACTACAATTTACATTTTAATCTTTACAACAATATTGTATCAATTGTATCAACATTAATATTTTTTCTGTGTTGTTTTTTAATTACGTTGCGCGTTATTCTAAGAATCTGAAAATAATGTTAATTAATATAATAAGGTGAAAGTTTACAAAATAAATTACATTATATAGAATCCAGCTGTAGGTCCGCATAACAGATAAGAACACATTATTACGGCAATCTATTTCATAGGAAGTTTTTACATTTTCATTGCATATTTATTTAGCATTTTTAACAATTGCAATGCTCAGGGATGTTTTAAGGAAATTATGAGGTTTTCTTTCTTTGCAAATGTTATAATATTGTATATGTATGTATGTATGAAATGAGCATCCGTATGCTGTGTAAAATGTGTATTGGTGAATTTTGAATAAACAATTATTTGTTAAATTTCCATTATATTAAAGCTGTCTTTATTAGTCGAAATTCTTGTTAATAACGTTGTTTTTATGCAGCAATCAATCATTTTAAATGTTTACTCTTAAAAAGTAACTAGCAAAAAACTTGACTTTGTATCTAGCTAGTTAGCTAAGTAGTTATTACTTATTTTTTTGCTCGGAACTCTTAAAAAATGCTGTAGTACTTTAATACCATAAATTCAATAATATTAACCATTAAATTCAGTTACAGGTTTTCTTTGAAACAGTTCGATTTTGTCAGCGCTCATACATATTTTATGAAAGGAAACTATGGATATTATTTGTTTATAATAAAACCCTAAGTAAGAATATTATTAAGTTTCCATAAATACATATTATTAAAATGGAGTAGAAATACTTCAAGCTTAAAATTAAACTAAGTTGGAACAGATAATTGTAAAAATAAAATATAAATGTTTGTTTTAATAAATTTAGGAAGGGCAAGTTATTAATATTAGTAAAAACCCTAAGGGAAGTGTAAGGTATTTTTAATACATGCAAAACCAACAAGAAAATTACAAAGGAAAAATTCCATCTGAAGTAATGAATTTATTACAGGATACCTGTTTCTTTTTATGGTTCATATTCAATAAATATGCTCAGTAAAACTAACTATTGTAAAAGAAAAATGTAGTCCATAGTATAAACTATAGTGTAGTGTATTGTGTAGTCTATAGTGTAGTCTATTGTGTAGTCTATAGTGTAGTCTATTGTGTAGTATATAGTGTAGTCTATAGTGTAGTCTATAGTGTAGTCTATAGTGTAGTCTATAGTGTAGTCTATAGTGTAGTCTATAGTGTAGTCTATAGTGTAGTCTATAGTGTAGTCTATAGTGTAGTCTATAGTGTAGTCTATAGTGTAGTCTATAGTGTAGTCTATAGTGTAGTCTATAGTGTAGTCTATAGTGTAGTCTATAGTGTAGTCTATAGTATAGTCTATAGTGTAGTCTATAATGTAGTCTATAGTGTAGTCTATAGTGTAGTCTATAGTGTAGTCTATAGTGTAGTCTATAGTATAGTCTATAGTGTAGTCTATAGTGTAGTCTATAGTGTAGTCTATAGTGTAGTCTATAGTGTAGTCTATAGTGTAGTCTATAGTGTAGTCTATAGTGTAGTCTATAGTGTAGTCTATAGTGTAGTCTATAGTGTAGTCTATAGTGTAGTCTATAGTGTAGTCTATAGTGTAGTCTATAGTATAGTCTATAGTGTAGTCTATAATGTAGTCTATAGTGTAGTCTATAGTGTAGTCTATAGTGTAGTCTATAGTGATAGTCTATAGTAGTCTATAGTGTAGTCTATAGTGTGTCTATAATGTAGTCTATAGTGTAGTCTATAGTGTAGTCTATAGTGTAGTCTATAGTGTAGTCTATAGTGTAGTCTATAGTGTAGTCTATAGTGTAGTCTATAGTTGTAGTCTATAGTGTAGTCTATAGTGCAATCTATAGTGTAGTCTATAGTGTAGTCTATAGTCTAGTCTATAGTCTAGTCTATAGTCTAGTCTATAGTGTAGTCTATAGTCTAGTCTATAGTCTAGTCTATAGTCTAGTCTAGTCTATAGTCTAGTCTAGTCTATAGTCTAGTCTAGTCTATAGTCTAGTCTATAGTCTAGTCTAGTCTATAGTCTAGTCTATAGTCTAGTCTATAGTCTAGTCTATAGTCTAGTCTATAGTCTAGTCTATAGTCTAGTCTATAGTCTAG